GATCCGAACCCTCGGACGGGAGCGCCTCCGCGCTTCCCAAGCGGCGCACTATCCAGTGCGCCACCGGGCCGGCCCTAATTTTTAATTTTTATTCCTGTTTATGTCATTTAGTTCAATTAATCTTCACAAGCACCCTGTGAAATTAGTAGTATCATTATCCCCATTGAAGTAGATGAGAAAACTAGGCACCAAGAGGTTAACTTTCCCACTGCCACACAGCAAAGGCAGAGCTGGCATCTTGCTCTATAATTTTGAGAGCAAAAATAGATTTGTGCTCAGAAACACACATCTCTCACAGGCCTGGGTATTTAACCATTGCTAGGTCTCTTTCCTTGAAAGCAACAATCTTGTTTAATTTAACCTTCAATCCCCAGGGCCCACTCCAGTACTCAATAACACACAAAATGGATGAACGCATCCCTAGGAATCGCTGCACACAAACAAGTGGTATCGGCACCACTGGGACAGTGTTTCTGCCGATGCTAGGAGATGTGACCTCATAGTCCACAGAGGGGATAGATGAATTCCACCAGTAAGTCCATAAAGTACCTCTCATTTTTGTTTAATCAGAAGAATATCTAGCCTGCATCAGAGAATATCAAAGCCTGAAGGTTCCTTAGCCGAGATCCAAGACGTGAATAGATGTTCCGTATCTAGCTGAATAATCCTGGCTCCCAAGGGAGGATGAGGTCTGGGTAAGGTTCAAGCTGCCCGGGGTCAGTGCTCAGTGAGAAGGAATCATGGCCAATTACCAAAGTTAACCTCGGGCAGTGCCCCTTACCACAGACCTAAACCCCTCATGTTACAGATGAGAAAACTGAGACCGGAAAGGAACATGTCTCAGCCACGCAATCACCTCCAGACAGAGCTCAGAATCGGTCTGTTGGCATGGCCCAGGGTGGGTGAACATCTTCAGGCCACACAGGGGAAACAGTCGTATAAGCACGAAAAAAATTAATCTAAGGAAAAGCCCCAGTCCCTAAAGAACAATATCCTCATCTCATTTGGGTCACGGCTCTGTCTCCAAAACAGATCTGAAAACCCACTGGAAATTTTTACACAGGCCCATTTTGAGCTGTCCTTTCTGTCCTATGCAAATGACATCTTGTTTTTAAATGCCAAGAGCATCGGCTCTAAGAAAAACCCAGAGCGCTCCGGTGCTGCTCACCAGCCTTTGTCCCCCTGGTGTGGACACCATTCCCAGCAGCTCCTTTACCTGCTCCTTACTGTTATTGTTAAGTAAGCCAGGTTTCTTTTTCTTTTTAATAGGGCTTGTTGATGTGTCCTGTGGTGAATGGCCATTGGAGGAATGTGGAGGGCTGGGGAATTTTCTTTTCTGGGCTGTTCTCTCTGTAGAGCCAGGATCTGAAAGAGACACAGAGAACCACACATTTTAAAACAGTCAAGGAGGCCTAGGCCCCACAGTGAGGAGGGGGTGTGTGGGACATAGGGCATGTCGTCCCCAAACTCCACATGCCATTCCAGTGTTCCTCCTCCTAGAATATACGTGGCCCCCTCTTCACTGTCTGCCTCAGAGGTCACGAAGTCTTTCTTCGGCCTACATAGCATTTTGTAAAATCTTAATTCATTGCCAAAATATACTGTTTTGTTTTGTTTTGTTTTTTGGCAGCAGCTCGCCAATATGGCGATCCAAACCCTTGACCTTGGTGTTATGACCTTGGTGTTATAGCATAACAGTCTAACCAGCTGAGCTAACCGGCCAGTCCTCATTGCCAAAATATAAAAACTTTATTTAACTCTGATTTCTGGCTTCATTTAAAAAAGCATATCAGGGCCTGCATGGACCAGACAGAGTTGAATAACAGCCATCCACTTTTAAATGGCAAAATGCCCTTCATTTTGCCACAACCACCACCCTTCTCTACTGCACCCCTGTTGACAAGGCCTGACCAAGATGCCAAGAGTCATCACACAGGCTCTAGTGTTATTCTTATCCCAAAGAAATATTTCTTCTCTACCCCTGTGCCTGATGGCCAAAGCAGTAAACCATGAAAGACCAAAAGGCCACACACTTAAGGAAATAAAGGCACACATACTTCTTTGTGGAAGACAACAGCATTTATTTGTGTTTATTAGGCTAACAAAGTATAACAGTACACAAAAAATACACCCCACCCATCAGAAAGTTCTCATGGCTCCATCACCGGTAGGCATTGTTTGAGACCTTCCTCAAAAGAGATCAATACACCAATTACATTCTCACTGATTCTCACCTGAAAAATGCCAACCCCACTCTGCCAGCTCATTCTCCCAGCACCTCATTTAAACACATGCACACTTCCCACCACCATCCATCCGATCTCCACCTGCAAGGACTTGAATCCACTCCATGTACACCGGTGGTCTTGTTAGCTTAGGGATGATATAACGGCACAGCCTGGTATACCTTACATCCTGAGGAATGAAAGGTACAGACACCAGGAGAGGAGAGAGCTACACCAAGAACATAAGGGGATGGGATGGGATGTGAAATCCAGAAAGATGACTATCCCCAAAGACATTCCTCCTCCAGTTTTACTACTCAGGCAAGTTCTAGCACGCAGGTTGTACAGTACACCCCCGTGCAGAGGAGTCACCGATGGCAAATTAACAGGGCCAACATGGCCATGGGGAAGGCCTCCTAGTGGTAAACTTTTGATTGGAAAGAGAAGCACCTTCCAGCAGACTCACAAAGGAAGAAAATGAAGGCTTTCCCAAAACCCAATCCACAGGATGGAACTCTCCAGCCTCACCTGGCAGGCTTCAGGACAATCCTGAATAAATGTTCAGGGTGCTGCACAGAGACCCAACCCCAAGAGGAAATTAAATGCTAACCACAGGCACCTTGAGATGAACAGACCCCAGTGGCTGGAGAATCATCCCACAGACATAAAATTGGAGACCCGAAGAACCCAAAGGGATGGCCCAAAGGCACAGAACAGCTGGTTAGCGAGACAGCTCGTTAAAATTGTGCAGCCTACGGGTGGGACGGTCCCCCAGAGAAAACCTCCTCTCATTCCCATAGGGTCCTCACCCCACACTGCCACCACATGTGAAACTCTTTCTCCACACAGTCCTGACTCAACACTGTCTTCCTAGAAACACATCCTATAAATACAGTCACAGGGGAGCAAAGCATGTGCAAGATGATTCAACTGCAGCACTGTGTGCTGTGCCTATGACTGGAAACAAATGTCCACAAATGGAGGACTCGTCTAACAACACATTACATCCATGCAATGGGATATTCTGTAGCCATTAAGAATAACAAGGCCCTTCTACTCAAAGTGGTGTATGACGATGTCCAAGCTTCTGCGTCAAGTTAAAAAAACAATGCAGGGGGCTGGCCAGTTAGCTCACTTGGTTAGAGCTGGTGCTGATAACTCCAAGGTCAAGGGTTTGGATCCCTTTACTGGTCAGCCACGGAAAACCAAAAAAAAAAGGCCACACACACACACACACACACACACACAATATGTGTCTAACACCATTAATGGACCAACATACATCTCCCGAAAAAGATGTAATATATACATCAATGTTTGCATAAAACTAGAATATTCCTGGATGAACACAAAAGTACAACAAGAGCTCTACAGGAGGACTGGTGGTTGCCTCGAGAGGAAAGCCTACAGGGAGTGCGGAGATGATCATTTTTCACTGTGCACCCTTGTGTACTGTATTTATCATGTTCCTGGATGACTACATCAAAATAAAGAAAATCAAAGATGAAGTTTTTGGCAGGCTCAGTTTCACATAAAAAAGCAGCAGGTGCAAACCAAAGCCAATAATGAGCGAACGAATGAGGGAGGACAGATTTAGGATTAGAAAATGTCACCACATGGGTAAAGTTAGGGCCAGATCACCGCAGGCTTGTGGACCACAGGAAGGAGTCTGGGGTTTGTTCTACAAGGATCTGATAAACCCCAATAATTCAGCTCAAGTGTCAGAGCACGGGTGTTTAATAAAAACGTTTTGGAGGCTCAAAGGAAACATGTCCTGGAAGAAATGCATCCTGGGTAGGCAAAAACTGAAAGCAATCAGGCAAAGGTTTTGGTTTTGTATGTCTTATAGTTTGTGAGTAGATTTTGAAATAGAGTACATGAGCAAAGACCCACCAGTGGGAAAGTGAGGGGCACGTTCCGGGAAAACAAGCGCAGTAGTGTGTTTTGATGTTTCTCAATGGAGCACTATTGGATTTTGGGAAGGAGAGCTCTTCCTCATTGCAAGGACAACCTCAGCACTCTCCCATTCGATTCCATTAGCACCCCCAAACATTGTGACAACAAAAAGAGAGGTAGCACTACCCTCCTGAAAAACCACTGAGCTGGAACACAGGGCACAGTGGATCAACACAGTCCAGCAATGCTTAGTCACCCTTGGAGCCAGAAAGGGCACCAGCTGCTCCGGGACAATCTAAGTTCTCCACCTGTGACTGAGATCCCCTGGGACAATGGTTCCCAAAGTGTGGTCCCCATACCAGCAGCAGCAGTATCACCTGGGAGTTTGCTAGACATACAAATTCTGGAGCCCCACCCCTGATCTACAGAATCAGAAATTCCAGGATAGGGTCCAGCAATCTGTGTTTTATCACCTCCCAGTGATTGGGATGTATGCTAGTTTGAGATGGTCTTGGGTGTTGTTTAGAGGATGGAATCTGAGTTCTCAAGACTAGAGAATCCTATTCCACACTGGAGAGCCAATCTGCATCAATCTCCTCTACTTCCCCACCACTTTGCAGGGGGCCGGTTCACAAGCCAAGCAAGAAGGCAAGGCTGGAGAATAAGCCTAAATAGGAAACAACCCCAGGCAAGGTTCTTTACCTCTCAGGGCCTCCCTGACTCATCTGTAAAAAATGGGAAGAGAGGAGGAGAAAGGGACAGACCAGAAGTTCTTGCGTGGAGTCCATGACAGTGCTTCAGGGACCCGTGAACCACATGCCACCTTTCTACACGTGAATGCAATTTCTTGAGAAGTAGGACCATATACTACTTCTCCTTCTCAAAGGTCCTCAGCTCTGATTAAAAACTATAAAGGGGGGCCGGCCCGGTGGCGCACTTGGTAGAGTGCGGCGCTTGGGAGCACGGCGGTGCTCCTGCCAAGGGTTCGGATCCCATATAGAGACCGGTCCGCTCACTGGTTGAGCGCGGTACGGGCGCGACACCAAGGGTGGCGATCCCGTTACCGGTCACGAAAAAAGATAAAAAGGAAAAAAAAAAAAACTATAAAGGGCAGGGCCGAGCCCGTGGCGCACTTGGGAGAGTGCTTCGCTGGGAGCACAGCGGAGCTCCCGCTGCGGGTTCGGATCCTATATAGGACTGGCCGGTGC